AGGTGTCCTAAATTTTAACATCGAATAACTGTAGTTACTAACAAAAATGTAGTTTAAAAAAATGTATCAGTACCAACCTAGAGAAAGTAATTGCACCTCTAAACAATTGGCAATGAGATTTCTACATCACTATGGAGGGATTTGGCCCAGTCTTATTTGCAGAATTGCTTAAATTGAGCCATATGGGAGGAATGGTCTCCATAGTCAGGTTTAAGTTTGGATTATGACACAACCAGAACAAAACCCATTTAGAGGTTTACTTGCTGGTGTGCGTTGGATCAATGTCTTGCTGAAAAACCCAAGGAAGGGTCACAAACTGATCAGGGTCACGTCGGTTTGGATAACTTTCTTCCTTAAAAGGTGAAATTAGCATTTGAAAGAAGAAAAACAAGAGAAGAAATGAAAGAGGTCCAATGATTTTTCAAACCGCTGTACAAATGAAGTTTGAGCTCATTTCTCTATAATTGTTCACGCAGCAGCTACTTATTCAAAGCAATCACTTCCAAAAAGTCGTGATTGCCATTTATAATTGCTTGGGTTTGTTTATTAGTGCCTGTTATAATCGCTATAATTACACTAATCAGGCTCCAGTGACAAAATCAAAACAAAAATATCATAAGACTTCATTAATATGTTTTTCTATTATTAAAACCATTGCAGACTTTTCCTGTTTTGCTTCTCCCCATCAGACAGAAACAGTTTGTGTTTGCATGAGCAGACACTCGCTCAAATGATTACAAGCAGGGGCGCCGCCAGGAATCTTGGGCCCCATGACAAAAAATTTAATTGGGGCCCCCCCGTGCAACTACTGTTAGAGTTTCTTGAGTCTATCTCCATATTTGTTAAAGTTGTCTCCATGTTGTGACAGTTTTCATGAGACAGATCATCTGTGAAAAGCATCAATCTCCTCCACCTCCTCCCTGAACTACTATTGTTAGCTAAAGTAATGCACCATTCTAACCAAAAACAACCAATCAGAACCAGGACGGCTTTGGTCTCCAAAGCCAAAGTACCA